AGACAGGACTAAAGAAAAGACCAAAATAGATGTCAGAAGAGACTCTGAAACTTGTTGTCCAGCATGCAGATATTAAAGCAAATGGAAGACATGAGGAGATAAAAAAGCTAAATAGAAAAGTTTCAAGGGCCGCTCAAGAAGACAAAGGCAAATATGGGTTGTACCTCAATGTAAAGAAAACAAAAATCCTTACCACTGGATCAATATGTAACACAAGAGAAATGGAGAAAAGATTGAAGTTGTGAAAGACTTCCTTTTGCTTGGATCCATCATCAACACTAATGGAAGCAACAGTAAAGAAATCAAATGACATATTGCATTAGGCAAATCTGCACAAGACCTCTTTCAAGTGTTCAAGAGCAAAAATATCAGCTTGAGGAGTAAAGAGTGCCTAACTCAAACCATGATATTTTCAGTAAAAGTGAGAGTTGGACAGTGAAAAAGAAAGTCGAAGAATTGATGCAAATATTTAAGTTATGGTGCTGGAGAAGAATATTGAAAGGTACCATAGACTGTCAGAAGAACAAATAAATCTATTTTGGAATAAGTACAACCAGAATGCTCCTTAAAAGCCAAGATGACCATATTTCATCTCAATTGTGAGGATGATGCAGAATTGGTCAATGTTTTGTTCTGTTGTGCATAGGGTTGCTATAAGTCACAACCGACTTGATGACACTTAACAAGTTGTTAAATGCTGTTGAATCAATCTCACCTCATAGTGACCCTGTATTGGGTTTCCAAGGAGTGGCTGGTGACCTTGTGGTTCAAACCAACCTTGTGGTCCAGTGTCACACTAACAACAACATAGGACTAGATATAACCAATGGGCTGAGAGTTTACCTCCTCTGCTTTATAATTTGTATGACCTAATTTAGGACTTAACAATTTTCTCATTGTTTGGTAGGTTTTATTTCTGTCATCCTAACCAAGATATCAACTTCAGGGTTATTTCACCTTATTTATTTAGGCCTCTGTGGCTGAGCTTAATACAGTATGTTGCTATTGTTATTAAGCACTGTTGAGTGGGTTCAGACTCATAGCAACCCAATATAGGGTTTCTGGGGTTGTAAATCGCTGCAGGAACAGAGAGCCTCATCTTTCTCCTGCAGAGTGACTGGTGGGCTCAAACCACTGACCTTGTGATACACAGCCCAGTGCTTATCCTACAGAGTCACCGTGCTCCCAATACAGTATTAGCAACCAATAAGAATGACTTTTTACATGTATTTACAACAAGGACAAGACTGCCTATGTACAAATACCTCATGGAATTTAGTTCTTAGGCTTTTTTTTTTAAGGGGTTTGTCTTTCATGGGACATCCCAGTTAATTGTCCTAATAACATGTTTAGTGTTTCTGCCCTACCTCTTAATTCTTTACTTAGTACCTGAGTCTTAAAAGCTTGCATGCAGCCATCCAAGGCACAATAGTTGTTCTCTATTCACCTGAACAACAGAGAAAGAAGGTGAGTCAGTAATAGGGGGAGGATACGGAGGTATGGCTAATTGCCTCCAGGACCAGTTGCCTCCTTTGTCATGAAACCATAAGCACTAGATAGTTCCCGCCTGTCATTACTGAATATTTTGGTCAAAGATTCCATAGAAGAATCCTTTGGAAATGCAAAATAGAATTTCAGATTCTCATAAACTGTAGTCTTTCTGGGGTCATGGAAGGTAGATATGATTACCCTAAAATAATCTTTAACCCTTTAATCAAAAATATCCCCTAAAGTCGTCTTAAAACACAGCAATAGTTTTGCTTATCTAGTAAGAGATCTGTCATGAGCATTGTGTTTTTTAAAGAATTATCTGTGTGGGACCAAATTGACAACAGCAACTCTACAGTTTAGATGTAAGCCTTAGGAGGCAGTGAGTATATGTTTAGGAGTAACAACTCAGACAACAACAATGAGACTGGTCATACAAGTTGGAGAATAGAATCAATGTCATGGCGTTGTACATTTAGAAACAATTAAATCTGTGAATGGTTTACTGTGTCTTCAATGACAACAACCAAATAAAATTTAGAAAAAAATAATTTGGTAGATTCATTTGTTCAAAAAAATAGTTAATGAGCTTATTGTTTTTGTTAAGTGCCATTGAGTCGCTTCTGACCATAGCAACCCTGTATAGGGTTTCCAAGGAGCAGCTGGTAAGCTTGAACCACCAACTTTGCAGTTCAAATGGCTTTGCAGTCTGGCGTATTAACCCACAGCGCCATACCAGGACTCCCTTAATGAGCTTTGTTGTTGTCAGGTGCCATCAAGTCGGAACCGACTCATAGCGACCCCATGCACAGCAGAACGAAACAATGCTCGATCCTGGGCCAACCTCACCACCGCTGCCACCCCCGAGTCCATCAATGATGCCACCTGGCCAATCCATCTCGTTGGAGGTCTTCCTCTTTTTCTCTGACCCTCCACCCTACCCAGCATGACATCCTTCTCCAACGATTGTTTCCTCCGGACTACATGTCCAAAGTAGGAGAGACGAAGCTTAGCCATCCTGGCCTCCAAGGAGCACTCTGGCTGCACTTCTTCCAAAACAGATCTATTGGTTCTTTTGGCAGTCCATGGCACCCTCAGTATTCTCCTCCAACACCACAACTCAAAGGCATCAATTCTTCTACGATCCTCTTTATTCACTGTCCAGCTTTCGCATCCATATGAGGCTATTGAAAACACAATGGCCTGGGTCAGGCGCACCCTAGTCCTCAAGCTGACATCTCTGCTCTTCAATACTTTAAAAAGTTCCTGTGCAGCAGATTTGCCCAGTGCAATACGTCGTCTGATCTCTTGACTGCTACTTCCGCGAGTGTTGATAGTTGATCCAAGAAGAATGAAGTCCTTGACAACTTCAATCCTTTCTCCATTGATAAGAATGTTGTTTATTGGTCCAGTGGTGAGGATTTTTGTTTTCTTGACATTGAGATGCAATCCATATCGAAGGCTGTGCTCTTTAATCTTCATAAGTAAATGTTTCAAGTCCTCTTCACTTTCAGCGATCAAGGTTGTATCATCTGCATATCGCAGGTTGTTAATGAGTCTTCCTCCAATCCTGATGCCACGTTTTTCTTCATAGAACCCAGCTTCTCGTATTATTTGCTCAGCATACAGGTTGAATAAGTATGGTGAAAGAATACAACCCTGTCTCACACCTTTCCCAATTTTAAAACTTTCAGTGTTCCCATGTTCTGTTCGAACAACTGCTTCTTGGTCTAGGTACAGATTTCTTAGAAGTACAATTAAGTGTTCTGGAATACTCATACTTCTCAGTGTTGTCCATAGCTTGTCATGATCCACACAATCGAAAGCCTTTGCGTAGTCAATAAAGCACAGGTAAACATCCTTCTGATATTCTCTGCTTTCAGCCAAGATCCATCGGACATCAGCAATGATATCTCTCGTTCCACGGCCTCTTCTGAATCCAGCTTGAACCTCTGGAAGTTCTCTGTCAATGTATGACTGCAGCCGTTTCTGTATTACCTTGAGCAAAACTTTGCTTGCTTGAGATATCAAAGAGATTGTCCGATGATTTCCGCATTCCGTTGGGTCACCTCTCTTTGGAATGGGCACAAACATTGATCTCTTCCAATCAGTCGGCCACACAGTTGTCTTCCAAATTTCCTGGCAGAGATGAGTGAGTGCCTCCTGTGCTGCCTCACTTTCCTGAAAGATTTCAATTTTTATTCCATCAATTCCTGGTGCCTTGTTCTTTGCCACTTCTTTCAATGCACTTTGGACTTCCTCTCTGAGTATCATTGGCTCTTGTTCATATGGTATCTCTTGAAATGGTTGAACATTAACCATTTCCTTTTGGTACAATGACTCTGTGTATTCCTTCCATCTTTTCTTGATGCATTCTGCATCATTCAATAATTTGCCCAGTGAATCTTTTAATAGCGAAAGTCGAGGCTTGAATTTTTTCTTCAGTTACCCCAGCTTGAGAAATACTGACCGTGTTCTTCCCTTTTGGTTTTCTAACTCTAAATCTTTGCATACTATGTATAATGCATAAACTTTTATAATTTTTATTTTCTGGTTTCTTTCATCATATTGGGAAATATTTAGTGGAAATAGTGTCATAAGTCTGAGTCGAATTCCTGTATGCATCCTCAGCTTTGTGTCCGGCCTTGTGGGGTCATCACCCTGTGACACAAAGCTGGGTTTTTCTATGGAAAAAGGAACAGACCTGGTTGCTTTTACATTTATTAATGCCTGTTGTTGTTGTTAGTACCTCGGAATCAGTTTGACTCACAGTGATCCTATATGGGATTCCCAAGGCTTTTTAAATCATTTGTGGGAGCGGAATAACGTATAAGACATCTTTAGATAATCTGCCCCTGATCATAGTACTTGGCACATACTAAGCATGCAATAAATGTTAATATTACTTCCCCTTTGCCCAATTGCAATAATGACTGAATTCTGGTTTTATGCCAAGATTATTTGGTATATGAATGAAATATGCTGTATGAAATGTATGTAATTATGTGTCCAAGTTCATCTTTGTTATAATGCATAGTAAAAGACGTTTTTGTAGTGAAGAATTTAGAGTAATTGAAAGATACTCACTACCTTTTCTTAATGCACCACATACTTTCACATTCCACTTTCTGTCTAGTGCCATGATATCATCACAGCAGCAAGTAAACATATTCCACCCTGAAGGATTAGCTGTAGACATGAGTAATACTGGTTGACTCATATTAGTTTGACCTGAAAAGGGGAACATATTTGACTAAAATATGGGCATCATTAAAACTATTCAAACAGGATTGTTATTCTCAACCAAAATGCCACAAAGAAGACATCTGTTAAAACCTGGCTAATAGATTGTTATATCCTTCAACTTGGGGAGGTAGAATGTACAGAAACTAAACTGCCTCCTGTTACTTGTCAACTATAGTCTTATACACAGTAATACTTTTTCCTATGATGTCATGGACCAAAGAACATGATACAAATCCAGACTTTCCTCTTTTTGTGGTCTGCTGTAGGTACTCAGCGTGCTAACGCCCGGGCTCCAGCACCTTACAAGCGAGATTTTGAAGCCAAACTACGGAACTTCTACAGGAAATTAGAGACTAAGGGATATGGACAAGGCCCAGGAAAACTAAAGTAAGCCAAAGTGACATAAACCACATGACTTATAAAGAATGAGACTTGGTTGGGAATTTAGGAAATTGATTTGTGATTTGGCGTGCCAATTACTTTGGATTTGTGAATTACAGGATCATATAAAGTACAGTTCTGGAATTAAGTGTGATTATGGTAAATTTAATTGTAAAGCAAAACAGTAAAGAAACTAACTACTTCTTTTCATGTAAAAGTAAAGGCAAAAGAGAAAGCTGATTTTCTTTTTCTCTTGAAACACACCTCTTGTTGGCACTAAATATATATTTGTTAGCCTGTAGGCTGTCACAGCATCGTGTCCTACGTTGCATTTCACTGTCTCCTGGGCTGGCCCGAACATAGGAATCATGGTCAACTCTGGTTTGTTCTGTGAAACAAACTTCACTTGTCTGAAAGAAAGTCTCAGGAACATTTTTTCTTGTCTTTTTACCCACTTCCCTTTAAATGGGGAAACTGAAACATAATTACACTGGCCTAAAATTATTTCTATATCCTTCTCACCCCAATTGCCCCCTCATCCCCAGCTCCACTCCTGCACGCAGAGTGCAGATGAGCCGAGTATGGAGGATCACCCTAGCATCCTGACCATGAACCTCGGTGCCTGTGATAAGGTCAAAGGCCAGCCCAACAGCCTCACAGGTGACTGACTGCCCCACATGGCAGGGTTTGCTGCATTTAGTTCACAGGTTCCACTTGCATTCTATAAAACCTATCAACCTGCCTCAAGCACGTTGTACTGTGAGGGTTACCTTTCTTGTGACTTCATTTATGAAGGTCTTGATGAACAAGTTTCCTGTGTTCAGTCTCCCTGTTACCTGCTTTTCCATTATCAATTGCATTAAGGGCAAATTAATAACTGCTCAAGGATGGCTTTAATTGTATCCATCAAAAGTGGTTCCATTGGCTGTAAGCATCATTCACTTATATCTGTCACTTAGGGAATCTCTAGAGTCATTAAATCTAAAAATTAAACACAATTGTAAACTCCTGTGTTTTGCAGGATACTTTGTTTGTGGCTTGGGTTGTTTGCCCTTCTTGGTCTCACAGGCATCTCTCTAGGCCCTCAGTAATTTAATTCTCTGTTTAGGTGCATGCAGCCTTACAACATGACCTCATAGGGCTGTTCTCATTTTACTAAACAAAAGTTGTGTGTGTTGTTTTATTAGTATTTTCCTACAGGGTAACATGATTTGACCATTCAGAATGGACTCTTGAGTTGTTACTACAGATTATAAGTGGGGATACTCTTAATTATTCTCTTATGTAACTTTTGCTAAATGCTGTTATAAGTTAAACACAGTGTGTGCTTTACAAAAGGCAGCAATGATATTAAGGAAGGCCACTGCTCACCTATTTAATTATGTCATTGTTGTTAAGTGCCGTCAAGTTGGTTCTGACCATAGCGACCCTGTATAAGATTTCTGAGGAGCAGCTTATGAGCTTGAATCACCAACCTTGTAGTTCAAACGACTTTGCAGTCCAGCGCCTTAACCCACAGTGCCACACCAGGACTGGAAATTAAATGGAATAACTTATGTTTTATAAATTGTCTCTTTGTGGACAGGTTAATCATCAGAAGAGATCACTTACTAGAAGATGCTTTTAATCAGATTATGGGCTACTCCAGAAAAGACCTGCAGAGAAATAAGCTATATGTCACATTTGTCGGGGAGGAAGGGTAAGTAGAACAGAGAAGTGGCCATAGAACCCAGGTTGTAGCAGCGGGGCCGGATGTTTCACCACACTGATGTGACTGCCGGAAACAACAAATCATTCTGGCTGGAGATGCTGTTCTCATACACTTCAACCTCTGAGCCTCTTTTTATGTATGTTTTCTACAGTTTATTTTGGTTTCTTAAATCATTTGACGTAGAAATTCTTTAGTAAAAACTTGTAGCTATAGATCATTTGGAGAGGCTGAGTTGGTTTCGTTTCTTCTCTCTCTTAAAGAGGAAAAGTGGGAATTTTAGGGGGAAAAGGGGGGAGCATTGCATTTTCATGACTGTTGTCTTGTAATCTGCACTGCAGGTTAAGTGGAACATCCTGCATCTGTTAAATCAACTCAGTTTCAGAATCATGAGTTAGAACCCTGTGGTTCCAGCAGGAATCCTGCAAAGCAGTGACTCCTGGACATTGGTTCTTATTTATCCACTCCCAGTTTTTCTCTTCCCTTGGGAAAGCAGCACACCCACCAAAATAACTACTTGCTGTAAACAAGCAACCCAGCCTTCGGTGACTCTTCTGTGAGTGTGCTCACATAGATAGGGGTTAGGAAATAAAGGCGTGAAGACGCCTACACAGTTGTCTGTCACAGCTCAACAGGCAGACAGTTGTTAGATATCACCTTAGATGATGGCAGCTCTCATCCTTCCCCTGCCTCTTCTCATTTCAGGTCTGGGTTTCCAGTCTCAGAACCTACTTTATAACCTTGCTACCTTTAGAATGAATTAAAAAATACCACTGAGTGTCTGAACTCAGGTTGTCTTCTCCTTGATTCTGTTGGTTCAAATCATTTTAAGGTTGGTCCTCTCCATCATGTATTATGCTAAGGAATAAAGTATATTAGATTATGGAATTACAGTATTAATATTCAACAGAATTGATGAAATGAAGTCTCCAAAAAATTAAAACAAGTGATGAAACTAGATACAAGCAGAGTGAGGATTTAAACTCAGTTCTTTTGTCTTTTACTGGTATTTTGGTCTAGCACGAGGACACTGTTGAGTATTCCTGAACTGTGGTCTATCTGGATATTTTCCCTAACGCTGCATCTTTTTATTATTCCAAATGGTGACTGATAGCCCTACTCTTGTCACATGTGCAGTTATAGATGCTTCCCCAATGACTAGATAAAAGACAGGTATTATATGGGAGCACATCACCAAATGCCATAGTTTGAACAGAGTCATGGCCAAGATTGGAGCCTTTCATTGCTAATATATAAAGATGGACTACCAGTTTTGTTAGTTGGCTTAAAGATGCAGGTTCACACACACAAAAATGAAGGCTGCTATTTTTAGTCTTGTCACAAGCATGACTGAGATTCCAAATATTTCCATACATAACCAATCTGATTTGGATAAGAACACTGTTTCTCCCCTATAAGTCCAGCTGCCTTCCTTCATTGTTGGACTATAGTTTGCTGAGATCTCAGAGATTTAAGGAAGTCTTTGGAAGCCACTGCACTTTTGCTTGACTGGAATTCATGCTTAGTCTCATGCTTGACCATTCCAAAATAGTCTCCCTGCAACCTGGAACTGGTGACATGGGTTCCCAAGAGCAGATCCAGGCTTCGTGGGACAGATGGCTCTGCATTTGATTGCCACTGAACTCCAAGTGCTTTCTGCTTCTATCACCTGTGTCCTTTCCATACCCTAGAAAGAAAACAGTAGAGAGCAGAACTTGAGGTATGATGTTAGTTACCACTAGACAATCTTGGAATTTGACCTTTCTGTATATGGTTTATTGAAGCAGGAATTAAGGAGTTATTTTAGTCTTTGCCATCTTCCTAAGTACTTAGACGCTATCATACTAAAATAAAAGATTCTAATATTTCTTGCTGCATTATAATAAAAACCCAAAATCAAAGCTAGTAGTGGGGTGGTACAAACAGTTAACTCACTCAGCTTCTAACCAAAAGGGTAGGGGGTACAGGTCTACTCAGAAGTGCCTTGGAAGAAAGACCTGGAGATCAGTGTCCCAGAAAAATCAACCATTGAAAACCCTGTGGAGCGTAGTTTTCCTCTGACATGGATCACCAGGAGTTTGAACTGACTTGACAATGACTAGTTAGTACTGGAGCAGAAAATACGCAAGATGCACCTGGAACACCTATATTGCCAGAAAACAAGAAAATGCTCAAAAACCCTACAATTAAGGGATTTTATCAAAGGACATGGGACCCAACTGAAGGAGTTCCCAGTGGTCAAAGCTGGAATCAATTGAACAACCAAATAAATGCAGTCGTATTGGAATAGAACTCAAACTATAACATAAATATTCATGAGTTCATACCAATATAAATAAATGATTGGATAAATAAATAAATGGGGGAGAGTAGACAAATCTATGCAGGAGATTTCCAGATAACTCCATAATCATGAGCTATGCGCAGTGACTTCAAGAGTACAATATAGGAAGGGAGGGAAACAGTGGAGAACCTGACAGGCACTTCCTCCTCACCCAGGTGATAGACCCAGGTACAGCTAGTGGTCTCTCCATGTGCAGAAGAAAGGAGAGTGATGAGAATTGAAGAGGCTTGGAATCAATTAGTCCACGAACTAATGGAACATGTGAACATCAGTCTCTTAGAGTCTGAGACCAGATGAACTAGGTGGTGCCTAGCTACCACTACCAACTGCTCTGAAAGGGATCCCATTAGAAAGTCCCAGATAGCGTGGGAGAAAATGGTCAACAAAAGTTATAATTATTTTCAAAAAGACCAGGCTTACTGGTCAGAAAGAGACTGGAGGAACCTGGGAACTTCAACATGTTCATGGAAATTTTCCTTTATCTTTTAATTCACCTTTTTCTATGAACTCTATGAAGTTCCTCATATTTACCTCCATCTACACTCAGGGATGAAGAAGCTCTGGCAGCGTAGTGGTTACGAATCAGGCTGCGAACCTTAAGGTCAGTGGTTCGAAACTACCAGCCGCTCCACGGGAGAAAGATGAGGCTTTCTACTCCCGTAAAGATTTACACCCTCGGAAACCCTGTACAGGGTCGCTATGGGTCGGAACTGACTCGACAGCACTTAACAACAACAACACTCAGGGACAATACAATAAAGGGACAATACAATAAAAATATATAGTATGTAAAATAAAATAGAATAAAGTCTGTATTGTTTTGTTTGTTAATGCCAATCGTATTTTTTGTGCCGGAACAATACTTTGTAATCCTTATTGATACCATCTCTCTGATTACATTACTACATGGACACAAGCCAGACCTATATTTCCACTAGATTGCTGTTAGCTGCTGACTCATGATTACCCAGTGTACAGAGAACGAAACCCTATCCCACCCTGTACCATCTTCACAACAGTTGCTAGGTTTGAGTGCATCGTGTCATTCCATCTCTTTAAGGATGACCCTTTATTTTGTCAACCATGATGTCCTTCTCCAGGGACTGATTCCTCCTGATAACATGTGCAAAGTACATGAGACAAAGTCTCGCCATCCTCACTTCTAAGGAGTATCATGGCTGTACTTCTTCCAAGACAGATGTGTTCGTTTTACTGGCAGTCTGTGGCATATTCAGTACTATTCAACAACACAATAATGAAAAGGCGTCAGTTCTCTGGTCTTCCTTATTCCTTGTCCACCATTCCCATGCATGTGAGGTGATTGAAAATGCCATGACTTGGGTCAGGAACACCTTAGTCTTCAGTCATGTGACATCTTTGCTTTTTAACACTTCAAAGAAGTGTTTTTCAGCAGATTTACCCAATGCATTATGTCATTTTATTTCTTAACTATTGCTTCCATGGGCATTGATTGTTGAGCTATGTAAAATGAAATCCTTAACAACTTTGATATTTTCTTCATTATCATGATGTTGCTTCATTATCAAGCTGTGAGACTTCAAAATTTTTTTATGTTGAGATGTTTATCCATACTGGCAATTGTAGTCTTTTATCTTTGTCAGTAAGTTTTCTTCACTTTCATCAGGCAAAGTTTTGGATAACGAGCTTTCCTTCAGTCCTGATGCCATGTTCTTTTTCATATCGTCCAGCTTCTCCAGTAAATTTGCTCAGTATACACATAGATTAAGTGCAGTAAAAGAATCTAACCTTGATGCACACCTTTCTTGATTTTAAACCATAAAGTATCCCTTTGTTTTGTTCAAACTACTGTCTCTTGATCTGTGGACAGGTTCAGCAGGAAGCACAATTAAGTGTTCCAGAATTTCCATAATTTGTTATGGTCCACGCAACCTTTGCTTAGTCAATTAAACACAAGTAAATATCTTTTTTTATTTTATTTTATGCTTTCAGTTAAGATACATCTGATGTAGGCAATGACACCCTCTTATTCCACACATGCTTCTGAATTACTTCTGAATTTCTGGCACTTCTCTGTCAATGTATTCCTGCAACCACTATTTAATTATCTTCAACAAACTTTTACATGTGTCTGATATTAATGATATTGTTCAGTATTTTCTGCATTCTGTTGGTTCATCTTTCTTTGGAATGGGCAAAAATATTAATCTCTTCAACTCAGTTAGACAGGAAATGGTCTTCAAGATTTCTTGGCATAGACGAGTGAGCATTTCCATTGTGGGCCACTCTTATCAGAATGCCTTTCAACCTGAGTAATTCAAGTTCCAACACTATCTTAGACAAAATTCTGCTGCTATTGATAAAGTTTCCACTGGTCAATCTTTTGTAGATGTGGATTATCAGGTCCTTCTTCCTAGTCTCCCTTAGTCTGGAAGCCCCACTGAAACCTGTCCACCATCGATGACCCTGCTGGATTTTTAAAATACAGGTAGCCCAGTTTGCAACATGACAGCAATATTCAGGCCACCCCAGTACACCACACTGGCAGGTGAGTGGTGATATACTAGATAACTTATGACATACAGAGAAGAAGGTTTCTTTTTAATAATTATGTACCTGCTTGTACTCTAAAAGGTATGAATTAGCAGATCCGTAGACTTATCTGTGC